CTCTCAATGGCTGGAGTATAAATAATATGACGATGGTGATGCCTGCTGGAGATATGCTGGACTCAGGTGCATATCGCACTAGGGGACAGATATTTAGGCCATAGACTGTAGGTTTTGTGGGGATTTCGGATTGTCATCAAGATCCAACTGGACAGCTATCTCGTCCTAGTGTTTGGGACTGTTCAACACCCACGAAACCGCTGCTACAGATTGAACCCCGGGGCCTAGAGGTTATGAGGTCAAGCTCGTGAACCATTCAGAAACTTACATTCTATCTCTCGTGTTACGTGGTAATATAATAGGGTGAATAATATTGAGGTTAGGTATCAGTCGTGTGATAGGTAAGTGGGGGAAATCAATCAACGAAGTTGTGGAGTTACACAAATTGATATGATGTCAGGACATGTGTTTCATGTGTCTAGCTGTGGCCTTCCTCGACGATGGGCAATGTCAGCCGACACAGGATCGATCAGGATCAAAAAAAGCTAGTGGTGGTCAAACCAAAATATGTTAATAGTCAATGAAACCCATAACAGCTAATTTAAGCCAGCCAGCCAGCCACGTAGGGAGGTGTAGACATCCTGGCTGGTTGGGGACATCGAGAAGGTAAGAACCGATGGAGGCTAGAGATAATCCCTGATGTGGCTCAAAATCCGCGCTCTCAATGGCTGGCGCGCAGATGCATTCACTCTTTGTGATTTGTCATATCCAATGAAACTCTATTGTTCTTCCATACTACTGTTTTTTCCTTCACTCACTCCCACTTCTGTTTTTTATCTCTCTTTTGATAAATCCCTCTGCTCTCTACACTTGCTTTGGGTGGTACATGGAGGGTGGCGACTGGAACTGCTGCACACCTGTGCAAACTTCTATGTCGAAAACAGTCAGTCAGCTACTTGAGCTGGGATTTAGTGACTCCTGAATTCTAACCGTGTCAACTCATGATATACAGACAGCGCTCTGTCCTCATTTAATGACGCCTTCGATAAGCACCCTGCTCACCACTTCACACCTTGACATGGTGGACCCTATTGGTCACAACTACCCAAAGCAGTTTCAGGCAATCCATCCACATGAGCTGGAGACTGGCATTCAGATTATAGGTCAACCTGAAGGTACTGAGTCCTATCCCTGTTGGGATCATGAGTGCGCGAACGGATGAAGAGTTCCAGAATTAGAGATTATTAGGATTTTTCAAAAAAAATCTGTGCTAAGCAGTTTTACAATCAAAAAATAAATAATCTTGTGGTGTAACTGTATACGCATGTAGCTTTTGGCCTACACACTTGTAAATCGATAGATAAATTCATGAACAGATAAGACATAACTGTGTGTGTATGTGTGTGCAACAGAACTATTCAATCGAAGAAAAAGGGTGGTCTTCAAATTCAAGTAAGAAGAAGACTACCAACAGTGTACTACCACCTCCTCCTTTGTGATAATACAAACTTTTGTGTGTGTGTGTGTGCGAATGAAGATTTGGTTGAGCCTTCTCAATTCAATTTGTGAGTTATACTCTACAAACTGTGTAATTAAATAATGAAGGCACAATTTTTCCGTGTTTATAAATTTGAGTAATTTTAGACACATACACACACGCACACACACAAACACCCAGAAAAGTGCACAATAGTTAGGCGTTGCAAATCATCATCATCACCACTAAAATTCGTGACTGAATCATACATGCATAGCACAATCAATGAGCAAACAAACAAATAAAACAAACATGTAATACTACATAGTGAGTCATACATACCCGGTTACAAGTATTAGACAGAATAATGAGTCATAACACAAATACACACACCCCACCACATGGTTTGTGCAGGAGAAATAATACATTTATCATCATTACACCCAAAAATGTTAAAATTCTCAAATCTACGTGTAAATTCAAATGAATTCTAACTGTCCATCAGAGAATAAAAAAAATAGTCAAGGAGGACCGATGGAACTCTGAAAAGATCGATTTATCGTAAGCTGTCATGGAATGGTCAACTGACAATATTCTACAGCTGGGTACCCATTGGTCGAAAACGAAACCTGGTCCGGTCTCTTGCCACTAGAATTCGGCGCATATGTAGCCCTGATACTGTGGAAGATGAGTTATACATCTTGAGGAAAATCCTAATAGAAAATGGATTTCCACCACGTTTTATAGGTAAGAATATACATTCAAATCCTTTAAAACGTGACTTATCAACCGTACCCAAGAAGATACTTTACATGAGCTTGGAATTCAAAGGGGACTTAGCTTCCGATATCATGAAACGAAGGATATCACAGTCCCTGAAAAGAACATTCCCTGCTGCATCCCTGAGAATAGCCTTTACTAGTCGACCATTATTGTTCAATAACCTGAAGGACAAGATCCCGCTGTTGACCAACTCTATGTGTGTTTATCAATTCACCTGCTCGTGTGGAGCTAGGTATATCGGTCGTTCGACACGAGTTTTGTCCAAGAGGGTGCAAGAACACTATCCAGCATGGTTACGAAAAGGTGGAAGTGGAGCAATAAGAAGCGCGATCATTGAACATCTGGTCGATAATGATCACCCTATCTCTATAGCCTCCGCCTTCAAAGTCATCTACAAGGCAAAGAGTAATTTACCGAAATCCCTGCGTACCCGACTCATCTGTATTGCTGAAGCTTTGGCTATCGAAACAGAAAAGCCAGATCTCTGTGTACAGAAAAAGTTTGTTCAACCCCTCCAACTTTCATGGTCTTAATCCCTCTATGCTAAAGTATGGTAATCCCCAATCATATTTTAGCTCTACCAATTTTTCATTTTTGTCTATTCAATTTGTATACTCTTCCTTATTAAGTCAATTGTTACTATTACTACTCTCACTTTTAACTGTCCCTGGTATTATTTCACTTGTTCCACTTGTCATTCTAAATCAATTCCTTTATGCAACATTAAATTCTATGCTATTAAATTTCACACAATATTACGTAACGTTTCTTTTTTATTCGATTTGTCTACTAATCTTATAATTGCACACCTTTTTCAAGTTCTATCCATCCTATGAATAAAATAGTCATCATAGGGAAGTAAAACAGTTATCTTTCAAGAGAGTTAGTTTCTCTGATCGCAGATTGAATAATAAGTTAGCAAACTATTGAAAATCACCAGGCAGTATGGGGACAAAACTGTTTCGTCCTAGCCTGCGACTCTTCGTCAGCATGCACACACCGGAGTGTCCCTTAAAAATTAATCTGATGCTCATTATTGACTGGCTGGCTACAGGACGAAGTTTCCTGGAATTTTAGTGAGAAGAACTTGTGACCGATTGGTGGCGTTCACACCAGGACAGACGTGGGGACAAATACTTACCGACGATATTGGTTGGTGGTTGCGTTAAAATCACGGATTGATTGAAGTTGAAATTCACGGGTCGTTGGGAGAGGTCCCAGCGGCTGAATGGTCTACAAGTTCGCTTTATAACCGGAAGATCCTGAGATTGGAACCCTAATGGCTGCCTACCTCCGAGGAGTCCGAAACTAGGATGAAGCAGATGTTCTGTACAACCTGATGCTTTTCAGTAGTTCCCTAACTGATATCGACCCTTGATCAAATTCAAAAATAGTTGTCTTTATCCTAGACTAAACATTATGATCAACAGCCACCAACTTCTCTGGCTCTATACTGGAGATCAGATGGCTGGCTAACCAGAAAGAATTAGCAAACGAACCAACCAAGATCCTATTGCTCCGCAGAAAATGGAGATGGGTCGGATACTCACTGAGGCGGCTGCTGGGTGACATCGTACACGGGGGCCAACGCTCGAGTGGAAGCCGAATGGGAAACAACGAGTTGGGCGTAGGTTCGAGGGTGACATCGAGGAGATCGTGGGACAAGTTGAGGAGGACTGCTGAGAACAGGACAAAGTGGACACGTACTACTGTTGAGGCCCCATTATATTCCACTCGAAACACAAGGGAATAATAATAACAGTGATTTGAGGTTATTCTAGGTAGAAATACTCCCATTCATTCTATTGAGAGTTAAATGAAAATCTGAGTGGCGACAGGATATGAACCTGTTGATCCCTGAATTACAAGTCCAGTGAACTAGCTACTAGCTAAGAATTGCAAGATCGAGAACTGCTAACTAGGTGGTGGTCACCATTTTATTGCAATCACCTCACCCACTATGCCCAACTGTTACATGTGGATACAACATGATACCTTTACTATCCTTTTGTGCCTCACACACACACACCCGCTGGCTACTGCTGCTCAATTAAGTCTTCTATTATTAATATTAATCATACTGAAATCACCGGAGGGGAACCCAATTATCCAATGATGGCAAGACTAACTGTGAGATAATTTTGGGTTTCACACAAATCTGTAATATTCAAGATTTTGTTTGTAGGGATTCGATTTCGCTTGAAGTTTGACCAGGGGCTGATATCAGCTAAAGAACCATTAAAAACCAGCTAGGAGTACTGGATATCAGTTTCGTCCTAGTTTGGGACTCGTCAAAAATACGCACCCACCGATAAGGATTCGAACCCAGGACTTTCTGGTTACAAGGAAAGCCGTAGAACATTCAGATGCTGGTACTTGACACAGTGTGGTCAGCCCATGAGTTCTAACTTCTACCGATTCGTGATTTTAGCGCGACTGGCACCAACCAGCCAGTTCCATCGCTGGTAAGTATCTGTCCTCACTCCCGACCAGATGGACCCCACTTGGCACGGCTTCTCTCGTTAACACTCCAGGAATCTCCCTGCTGTAGCCAGTAGTCTGTAGAGAGCATCAGATTAATCCCCAAGAGTTTATTCCTAGGGACTTGACTTTGTTTAGCTTTTGGTGAGGGATTGATATCCACTGGAGAACCACCGAAGACCAGGGAGTACTGTACTGTAATAATTATGCCTCATATCAGTTTACAAACCTGTTTTCCATGCTTCGTTTAAAAAACCCAACTTATTCGAATATAAAAAAAACAAAGGGAACTCTGATTACTATTCAAAGTATTACTTACTGTCTTTGGAATGTTTGAAATGTTTCTTTCTCTTTAAGTTCTTGTATTGGATCATTCCCGTGAGCACGTTCTTTATCATAAACCATGTAAGTTTCACCACGATCTCGTGTACATAACCAAATACTTAATGCAATGACTACTATAACGATAATTACACCCAATATAACAGCAGCAATCCATGCAAGACTTGCAGTTGCTAAAAATAAGAAATACACAAATAAATAGATTAGTAATAATAATAATCATAATTAAAAACATGTTTAATACCTTAAAAATTATCACAAATTATCGTGCTTTTTATCGTACTGAAGTTTCTGTTGCAACTTTGTTTACAGGGTAGGGTTGCAAGGATCGGGAAAGCAAGGTAACCTTTCATTACTCTCAAGTCTGTGTGCAGATCAACAGCACTACTCAGCATGAAAATGAAAATAAGATCCGAATTTTCAACTCCAGTGTGAAGTTCAGAGCTACTTACTATACGGATCAGAGACTTGGCGCGTCATAAAGAGCACCTCAAACAAACTACAGACCTTCATCAACAGCTGTCTTCGCTCAAGATCAGATGGCCGGCCAGAAAAGATCAGCAACAGGGATCTCTGGCAATGAGCGAACCAACCAGGAACCAATTGTGAAACAAATAGGCAGGAAGAAATGGAGATGGATTGGCCATACTCTAAGGAAGCCATCAAGTGACATCACTAGACTGGCCATTGCTCGAGTGGAACCCGAAAGGAAAGCGGTGAGTTGGTCGTCAGTGCAAGGGTGACTTGGAGGAGGTCATGTGAAGAGGAGATGAAAACGTGTGGGCAGATTTGGAGCCAGGTGAAGACTCTAGCAGAGAACCGAATGCAATGGAGACGCATGGCTGAAGCCCTATGTTCCTCTAGGAATTAAAGGAAACAATAATAATAATCGCCATTTACATGAGCATTTTGTCAATCATTAGAGCAGTGAAAATAATATGAAAAGAAAAGGCGTTCAGAGAAGAATTACTCTTTTCGGCCTCGAACTTTGTGGCTGAACCTCTTCCAATAACTTTCTCTAAGAAACCAATAATTTATATGAACATGAAGGATAGGGTATTACTTCTGTGTGTATCTCTACCGATTCACCTGCTTGTGTGGAGCTAGCTAAGTATGTCGGCTGTACCCAGGCGTTTGCTATCCAAACGTATCATCGGACACTTACCTTCATGGTTTTATAAAGCAGAAAAAAGGGATCCCACCCACCCAAGAAGCTCTATCCTGGAACACCTCATCAACTCTGGACACCAAGCTAACCCACAAGAGAACTTCACAGTTATCTATGGAATATGTGGGAATCTTGCTGAAATGAGTACGAATCGAACTTCTTCAAACCCCACATGTTAAATTCAGAACTCTGAAAACACCAGAAGAAGTTTGTTCAGCCACTAAATCTCCAATGGACCTGATCCATCTTAATACGGGACACTTCCTTTTTGTTTTCTGTCCTCTTAATTGTATTATTTTCCCCGCCCCACTCCCTTTTAAATCTCTAGCCCTTATTATCATTGTTGTCAACTTTAATCTCTAGTCAACCCCGTCAATTATATTGCGTTACTCAATTTACCTAATCAATTTTATTTTAGTTTCTACCTGATTAACGCTTTGTGCGTTACGTAATTTGTTATCTAAAATCTAAAATTGCAATGACAATTCTTTGGAAATATATTCTTTTGGTTGCTAAGGCAATATACTCTATATATGCGATGGAACAACTTGAGAATGATATCATCGAAAACACTAAATCTTCTTTTAAAATAATAATTAGTAAATAGGATTTCATCATGAGCTGACATTAGTTAGAGAACCATTGGAAAACATGAGAGTACTGGACAGCTGTTTCGTTCTAGTTTGGGACTCTTTAGCAGTACGCACCCACCGGGATTCGAAGCCAGGACCTTCCGGTTACAAGGCGAGCTCGTAGACCATTGAGCCACTGGGACCCGACTCAATGGCCAGTTCATGAATTCTAACTTCTGCCAATTCACGACATAGCGCGACCCCTAGCCAATGTCTTCGGCGAGTATTTGGCCTCACGCCCGACCTGCTGCACCCTACTGGTCACGACTTCTCACTAGAACCCCAGGTGACTACCTACCTGAATAGGGCAAGTCGCTAGTGAGCATCTCATTGATTTTCAAGTGTTGGTTTGTAGGGATTTGATGGGTTACAGGATTTCATTGGCTATGGGGTCGCGCTATGTCGTGAATTGGCAGAAGTTAGAATTCATGGGCCATTGGATCGGGTCCCAGTGGCTTAATGGTATACGAGCTCGCCTTGTAACCAGAAGGCCCTGGGTTCAAGTCCCGGTGGGTGCGTACTGATAAAGAGTCCCAAACTAGGACGAAATAGCTGTCCAGTACTCCCAGGTTTTCCAATGGTTCTCTAACTAATCTCAGCTCATGATGCAATCCTGTAACCAATCAAATCCCTACAAACCAACACTTGAAAATTAGTAAATAGTCTAAAAACAGTATTGAAAAGACTGACTGAATGGATGCGTTTCAACGGGGAACTTTGCATCGACGTGCAGAAGCACTTTAGCGTCACTACACTTTATGTAGCCCATCAGAAAATTCCATAGAACTTTAATGAGTAGAGAAATGTGCAGGAGAAAGAAGGGTAATGTGAAGAAATACATGGAAGATTACAACAAGGAGTGAATGCATCTGAGTCTCATTTGAGAAGGAATTTGAGCTACATCATCACCAACATTCTTAAAAGTCATTGGTTCTTAGTACCCCCCCCCCACCCAAGAAGGCGCTCAAATCAACCATCAAAGACTTTATATGCATTGATCCCAAGTTTCAGTTTGATCACTCCTAGCTATTTTCTAGCCTAATCCCTATGTCAGCTTACGCTTCTCGTCGGGGAAGGCAGTGTGGCTTGGCATACGCAATATACATGTTTTAACCACCTAAATCGATGCAGCTTCACAACCGCATCGATTGACTCAGTCTTCTAACATCAGTATTACTACTCACAATGTTATACCACTTAGCACGAGAAATATATAGGGCAAATATTTATGGTCAAGGAATGAAAAGACATGAAATGGGATAAATTTATAACCTACAACTTTGCAATGTTGTTTTTGCACTCTAGTGTGTGATTGGCTCCGTCCTCCTTTATGGCTGTGAGCAAGACATGGCCATTGAAAGTGGAAGACATGAAAAGGCTAGCTAGCTAGCTAGCTGTCTTTGATCATAGGCGTCTGTTTTCTATCTCTCGTGTTAAGTGGTATTATAAGGTGAGTAATATTGACGTTAGGCATCGAGTGCTAGGTAAAAAGGGGAAATGATACTACGAGGTTGTGAAGTGACATCGATTGAAATGGTTAGGATATGTGTTACGCACGCCCAGACATCGCCTTCCTCGACGGATAATGTTACCTGTTATAGGATTAAGTTGGAAAACAGCTAGAAATGGTTAAACCAAAACATGGCACCAGTCAATGAAATCCAAAACAGTTAGTTTAAGCCACGTAGAAAGGTGTAGACTTCCTGACTGGTTGGGGTCCTCGAGACGGTAAAAACCAATGGTTGGAAACAATTGGTGACATGGCTCAAAATCGTTCTCAATTGCTAAAGCAGATGCATCCACTCCTTGCGACTTATGATTTCCAATTAAACTGTTTTGTTCTTCGTCATTACTATTCCTTTGTCTCACACCTCTGTTTACTGACTATATTATGCATTTCTCCTACTTTCTTCTCTTTCTTTGTGTGCTACATGGAGTGGAGTGTGGCGACTTGAACTGCCGCACATCAGTGCAAAGTTCTATGTCGAAAACAGACAGGCAGTGTGCGGTTGCTCAAAGTAAGTTTTTTAAAAGAAAAAACACAAATGAAGTATACTATTTAGGAAGATTGAGGTGGTTCGTTATAAAGTACTAAGCAATTATTCAGCTACTTAGTAAAGTAATAGACTATGAGGAAAATAATGTATAATCATTTCTGATATTGCTTAATTGTCTAGAATGAAAAAAAAGTGGTATGTAGTGTGAGATGTGGTATTTAGGAGACATGTACACTAGATACTAAAGTGTTCGATATATAATTAACTTCTACTTCACTATCCCATGTATTGATGTATCCTTTAAAAGTAGAAACTGACTGACTGGTTTCTACATAGAACTTTGCACCGATGTGTAGCAGTTCGAATTGCCACACTCCATGTAGCACAAAAAGCAAGAGGAGAAAGTAAAAAATAAATGCAAAATAGAGACAGTAAACAGAGATATAAGGCGAAAGAATAGTAATAACGAAGAACAATATAGTTTCATTGGATATTGTAAGTCACAAGGAGTGAATGCATCTGCGCGCCAGCTATTGAGAACGATTTTGAGCCATGTCACGGATTTTCTCCAGCCGTCATTGATTTTTACTGTCCCGAGGACCCCAACCAGGAAGTCTACTTCTTCCTAAGTGGCTGTCTGGCTTAAACTAACTGTTGTGGATTTCATGGACTGATGAAGCCATGTTTGGGTTTGACTACTGCCGATAACTCTTTTCCAACCTGATCGACCTTATGTCAGCTAACATTACCCATTGTCGAGGAAGGCGATGGCTAGGCTATGCATACATAACACATGTCCTAACCATCTCAGTCGATGTAACTTCACAGCCTCGTCAATTGATTTCCCCTCCCACCTACCTAGCACTCGACGCCTAATCTCAATATATCTCACCCTATTATACCACTTCACATGGGATGTAAAACGCAGACACCTATGATCAAAGACAGCTGGTTAGTCTTTTCGTGTCTTCCACTCTCAATGGCAATGTCTTGCTCTCAGCCATAAAGGAGGAAGGGGCAGGCTGCTGAGCAGTATACACGCTGTTTGGTCGACAGCCACACAAGCCTTCTATATCCTTGCTGAGATTTCGTCAGCGATCAACCCACTGGGTTGGCTGATACAACTTCCCAAATAAGTCAAGCGATCAACACGCTTTATCATTTCACTACCTCTCTGTTTAAGCCAAAAGTCGATGTAATTTAGTCTTATAGCCTCATCATCTTACATTAAATAGGACCAAATCGCATGCCAAACATTCGAAGATTGCTGCTCCTCAAAGTGTTTCACACAAAGACTGTATTTTATCAGCGTCTTCAGGACCTCGGAGGATTATATCATCCTCATGCGCTAAGTCAACACGACTATTCCTTGATGG